ATCACTTAACTTATATGCATCAATAGCTTGATCAATATGTTGACACCACTCACGTACTCCAACATGGGTGTCCGGGTCGAAGGACGGCAGGTAAATGTCCTTGATACTTATCTTCGATTCGGTAGGTGGAGCACACAAGCGCTCCGACATCCTCTGCATCATTTCCACCATCTGCATAAGGAATTGTGGTGGTATACCGTCCATCCGCATTCTTTGATCAGAGTATGTATGCGGTCTTGATTCATTTGTAGCGTCTATTGATGTATTGGAGCCTAGCATAGGCTCCTGACGCTGAATGTTGGCTGGTTCCAGGTGCTCAGGTGGTAAACGAGCTGATGAGGAAGTGGCTTGAGTAGAGATCTCTTGTGATCCCACTTCTGATGACGGAGGAACGGTCCCCGTTCTGTTTTTAAAAAGTGTGACGTCAGCATGGCTGACGTCACCGACACTATGTTCTTGGTTATCACTCATCTTCAATTTTCAAAGTAAAAAAACTACAAGTTCACTAAAAGCCTTGTTTATTAAACTGACAGCGTAACAACTTATTTTAAGTAGGTCCGTACAGTTCGACAGCTCGAGCAAGACTGAGCCAGCGTCGTCTTCGGGTCATCTCTGCGTCCCCGGCTGGGGGCGCGAGGTCGCGCGATCCAGGCCGATGCCTGTTTCGGCGGTCTCATTCGCTGCCTGCTACGGCAGGCGAGGGGTTGGGTTAGTCGGGCACCTTGCGGGGCCCGATGTGGTGTCGAGTCCGGTGGTATGCCCCGCCATTGGCCGCGCTCTAGCCGGGCAAGCCCAGCGAGCAGCAAGCTGTTGGCGGGGCATAGGTCGTGTCCAGTGGGGGCGCCGCTATGGGCCGCGCTCGAGCCGGGGAGCCCGGCGAGCGGCGGACTAGTAGCGGCGCGCGGTCGTGTCCGGTGGTGGCGGAGACTCTACCGATCCGCCTGCGGGGCGGGCGGGAGTCTCACGCGGCGTCCGATGGGCCGGTCGGTGCGACCAGGTCTCGTGGGAGGCCGAGGCCGTCAGGGGGCGCCGGTGGTAGGGCGCCAGTCCTCTGAGATGGTCGTGCCGCGACCGATCGGAGCGCTCAAAGAGTGTGGTGCTCAGGCGCTGCACGAATGCGTCGACGCTCTCTACGCCGAGGTCTCGGGCGATTGTCGCGTTCCGTACGAAGCGCGGGGCCTGTACGATGGTGCGCAGCGACAGTGACTGCTGCGCACGGAGGCGTTTCTTGTTGGTTTCGGACACGAGCGCATACCATGCCGGGGCGGCGTAGGTGAGCCGTGTCCGAATGTAGGCCTTGTAGATGCCGAGCTTCGCACGGAGAGGTAGCGCCGAGTCGATCACCGGGCCAGGAGGTGACGCGCGGCGCGCGCCTGAGCGGTGGCCTGCTGCACGTGGGGCGTCATTGAGAGCGAGCGGTCGATGGTCACGCCGAGGTATTTAACGCTCGGCGCCCACCGGACCTGCTCTCCCATGAGCGTCATGGGTGTCGGCTTCATGATCCCCACGGCGAGCGCCTGGGTCTTGGCCACGTTCACAGCCAGTCTCCACTTCTCCAGCCATTCAGGGAGTGCATCTAGGGCGCGCTGTAGTTTGACTACTGCGTGCCTCGGGTTCAGCGACGTCGTGTAGTAGGCGGCGTCGTCGGCGTACAGCGCTAGTTTGACGCCGTTCACGACGGGGATGTCGTCCGTGTACACGCAGTAGCACACGGGTGAGATGCAGCTTCCCTGGGGCACGCCGGCACGGATGTTCCGCTCGGTCGACAGAGTGCCTTCCACTGCCACTTGGAAGGTTCTGTCGTGCAGGAAGGTGGCCACGATCTTAACTAGTCGTCGAGGAGTAGTAGATGTGGCCAGCTTGCTGAGCAGGCCGGCATGCCAGACGCGGTCGAACGCCTTCTCCATGTCGAGGAATACTGCCGCGGCGCGCTCGCGCTTGTTGCGCGCGGCCGCCAGGTCGTGCAGTACCCTCGCGACTTGCAGGGTGGTGGAGTGTTCCGCCCTGAAGCCGAACTGTTCGTCGCGTGGCTGGAGGTGTGGGCGCAAGTGCAACAGCAGCAGCTTCTCGAAGAGCTTCGAGACAGTGTCCAGGAGCGTGATGGGGCGATAGCTCCCCGGCAGCAGTGTGTTCTTCCCCTGTTTGGGCAGCATGATTACTCTGCCGAGCTTCCACTTGGCAGGGAAGTGTCCGGTGCGGAGGATGCCGTTGAATAGGCGCGTCAACGTCGCGATTCCTCGTGGCGGCAGGCGGCGGAGGGCCTCATTTGGTATTCCGTCCGGGCCGGGTGCCTTGCGTAGTGGGGCTCGCAGAGCCATACGCCGCACCATGCCAGGGGAGAGCACGACTGGGTCCTCTTCGGGGGAGATCGGTTGCTCCAGGTACTGTGCTACCTGAAGCTCGATGGCTGCTGTGTGTTGCACGTTGCGGGCTGGGTTGGGCTGGAACTGGCTCTCCAGGGAGTCAGCGAAGAGCTCCGCTCGATCCTCGGCTCGGTAGCGGGGTGTACCGTCGCCGGCCAGGAGGGGTCTGATCGGAGCTGGCTTCCCGGAGAGACTGCGGCACAATCTGTGTATGCCCGACCAGTCGTCGCTCACGTGCTCGATGGCACGTTGCCAGGATTCGGCCGCGTGATTTGCCACGGCGGACGAGATTCTGGCGGCCAGAGCGTTGAGCGAGCTCTTCATGGTCGGGCATCGGGTCCTCTGCCATTGCCTGCGGAGTCTCCTCTTCCTCTCGACCATGGCGAGTATGGCGGCTGGGAGGGGTGATGGTCTCCTCGGTGTCGACACGTTTGCCATCTGGGACTCGGCTAGTGCGGTCTGAGTGGCCGCGGCGAAGTCGGCGGCGAGTCGGTCGACGTCGGCGGGCGTGTCGATCCGGTATGACGGCGCGTTCCGTGCCATGTGTGCGGCGAAGGCGCGCCAGTCCCGCCGTGGGCGAGGGGGAAGAGGTCGCAGGTGTTGTGGGATGTCCTCGATAATCAGACTCACTGGCTGGTGGTCTGACCGGAGATGATCGTCCAGGACGTCACAGCTGGCTTTTGCGGTGATGCCGCGTAGGACGGCCAGGTCGATGACGTCGGGCGTGCGCTGCCGGTCGTGCGGGTAGTGTGTCGGGGCTTCCGGCCCGAGCACGACGTAGTTGTGGAGCTCTGCATCGTCGAGCAGGCGGCTGCCTTCTCGTGTGTTGGCGTTCGCGTTCCACGCCGTGTGCTTCAGATTGAAGTCACCGGCGATGATGGTTGGCAGTGGCGAGTCCAGCAGGGTGTGGACGTCAGCCACTGCGAGGCGGTAGTGCGGCGGTCTGTAGAACGCGAACACCTGGGTCGGCTGGTGGTTGATGCAGATCTCCACGCCCAGTGCGTAGGACGCTCGCAGCGTTGGCACCGGCAGCAGCTGGTGGACGACTTTTCTCCTGACCAGGATTGCCAGTCCCCTGTAGGCAATCCCTGACGGCGAGATGTGATCCTCCCGGTAGATGTGGAAGCCAGCCATCTTCAGTTTGTCTACCGGTCTAAGGTGGGTCTCGTTGATCAGGGCTATATCAGCTTGCCGCTGGTCTAGCAGCAGCTTCAATAGCCTGGTCTTCTCGGGGGACATCCCGTTGGCGTTCCAGTAAATGATCCTAAGGTGCCGGTGGTCCATCGCATATCAGGGACTTGATCGCGTCTAGGAGCAGCGGCACTGGATCGCTCTGTTCTTGGATAAGCGCCGTCACGATCCCCTGCAGGATGCGCACGACGGCGTTGATGGTCATTGTTGTGAGCAGCGTTGGTGGTGATTTTGGCGCCGTTGGCGGTCGTTTCGCCTTGGTTGCGGCGGTGGCATGCGCTTTGGTCGCAGGGGCAGCGGGCGCTCCCGCTTTGGCAGCGGCGCGGGCGACGGCGGGGTTGGCAGTGGGGGCGGGGGCGGGGGCAGGGGCGGCAATGGCGGTGGGGGGCGCCTTCTTCGCCCTCCTGCGCCCGCGTCTCGCACGGCGTCTTGTGCCAGGCTCGTTTGCCGCGGCCATCAATGAGCCAGGGGCGCTTGGTTCGCCCCTCGGCTGTGCGGCGGTTGGCCTGCTTGATGCGGCGGTGGTGGTGGTAGTGGTGGTGGTGGTGCGCGCTACTGTGCCCGCCCTGGGGTTTCGCGTCTCGCGGCGGAACACCGGGCACGACGCGTTGTTCGCCGTGTGCGCTCCGCCGCAGTTCGCGCACGTCGGCGGCTCCTCCCTCGGGCGGGGGCACTCGCTGGCCGGGCCAGCGAGCCAGCGCGCTCTGTGCGGCCGTATTTATAGTGTAGCGAGCATGTGCACATTATTGTAGGTTAAGTTCTAACTTTTATTTTAATCACAAGATTTTTACATTACAAAATCAGACAATAATAAATTCTTGATTTATAAACAAGTTTTGACGTAATTAAATTATTAAACTTAGTTATTAATTATTTTTATTGACTAATTTATTGTTGTTGCGCCGATATATATATAAAGATATAAACGCTATATTTAAGCCCGTCTCATATATTGCTCTTATGTATGTGACAAAACAAGTAAATGTCATAAAGTGAAACTTAAATAGGTGTTAAAAAAATGTTTATTTTTAGAAATTTTAATTGTAATTTGTTGACAGCTGTTAAACACCCACGTAATTTTGTGTGGGTTTCGTAACAGATTAATTACTTACAAAATCTATTTATAGCTTGTAAAGGACACTTGACTTATAAAATGTAACGAAAAAATAATAAATTTGTATCTCAAAATAAATTTCTTTAATGTAACTGAATACCTTTGTAGTTCGACTACGTGTCTTATATTCAATATAATTATTTATCTTTAAAAGTATTTTTAGATGAATATAGAGGTAATTATGTTGAATATCTGCAAGTAAAATTTTGAATAGTATCTTCAATCGAATTTTATTCCAAATTGTTTGATTCTGGCATAATCATCTTGATTCCTTCATCTCTTTAAACGAGTTCGTACCAAAACATTCCTTTAACCTTGAATCCTTGTTGCAGGTAAACCAATGCCTCGTATTCGCTGGTGGCGTGATGACAAGGTGATAGCCACCCTGGCTCCAGTGGATGATGAGTCCCGTCTCAGTCTGCTGGAGTTGAGGATACCGAAGCTGTCCAGAGACTACTTCGAAGCCGTGTACACTTGCACTGCTGATAATACAGTGCTGGTACCGCCTTTAAGAGTCAACGTGCAGATACAGCTGTATTGTGAGTATTTATTTATTCTAATACGTTTTTTTTTTTTTTTAATATTATAAATTATTTCTCCACGGACTCTAAGTCCGTGCCCTTGTCATACAGTTTTTTAATTATAATACATCTAGTCAATTTTTATAAAGTAAAGAGGGAACCTAGTTACACACTACAATTAACTACATCTAAAATTATTACCAAAAGTATAGGTTACATAATAATTAGGCACTATTTATTTATTTCTATTTCAAAGGCTTTATGAAACCAGCCCACCAACAAGATGGGAGAGCCGACCTGACCCAGCAGAAGGCACCCGTTCACGAGTATGACGTGTGTGTCAGCAATTGGTCCGGTCAACCTTTTTATTGGGAACGGAACAACCCAACACACAGCGCCACCGACTGTAGGACATTTATGTGTGCATGACGCCTCAACCTTTGCCACATGGGCCGATTCCAATAAAGCGTACAATAGTCCAAAGTCAATAAGGGAATTAATTCATTTATTCAAACAAAAAACTTAAATTAAAAACTAACTATTACTTAAAAAAAAAAAAAAAAAAATTAAAACTAAATATTACTAAATTAAAACTAAAAAATTAAAACTAAATATTACTAAATTAAATACCTATATACAACTAAAGATTAAAATTAATTATAAGAAAAAACAAAAACAACTATTTACATAAAGCGTCGAAAAATTCGACCGCATCGACGTCAGTGGGGAAAGTACCCAGAAGGCTGGCAGCATTGCCACGTTGTATGGCAATGCTTAGCCTCTGACCGAGAAAAAGACCAGCCCTCTGGTCACGAGATGTGTCAACCAGGCGTTTTGAGATGTTTTGGAACAATTTAAGTGCACTCGGACCCCACGGACCTAGCGTCTCAACCCCAAACGGCTCAAAGATATAACTACCAGCAAGGTTGTTATACTTGCGCCGCTTGAGGCTTTCTGCAGAGGCAGCAGCCGAACCAGCACAACCCGCCGTTACTGGAAGATGAGAAGGTGCAAGGGTGTCAACGCAGGTTGCGTCCCACACCAAAGACCTTCCCAGCTTCCAGGGCATAATGGACATACCGTCGGGTCTCTTACCATCGTCGCGTGCCAAACCCTTTGGTTCCAGAACAGCTGGCACACCGGCGATGATAAGAGCTCGGCGGATAATGTCGTTAATGCTGGCGTGTCGAGCTATCCGGCCCGCGCTTCTGCTACACGATAGGCCGTGGTGGCCGAGGTGGTCGACCATCTCACCGCATTGACAGCGATGCGGAGAAACACAGGGTGCACCTACACGCAAGCAAGCAGCAAGCCGAAAAGTTGAGTCATTCAACATCGTGCCAATATTGAGTGACGGAAGTGCCTGAAGCCAGAGGCCTGATTCCCACTCACCCACAGCCAATAGGCGAGCTAACTCCGCAGGATTGGTGCTGGTATTAATTAGATTATTATGCACCAACCTGCAGAGCGGCTCGTCCCATTGTCTCTGGGAGGAAGGGTTGACAGGCAAGGCTGTATTGGGACATGTTTCTGTCCAGACGTTCATCGCGTCGGTCAGACACGGCACATCAGGTTCAGCGTCAACACCAGCTAAAATTTTATTTGTTAACGTTCTAGTGCTGTGGACAGAAGAGATGAACGCCGGTAAACTTACACTGGTAATTTTGCGGACGCCTAGACCACCAAAACGAATTGGTAGTGTGGCTTGAAGCCAAACACGATCGTCCATAGAAGCATTCAAAAGTGAAGTTAAGGTGTCACGGATAATTTGATCAATTTGGTCCAGAATATGCGGATGCTTCCACAGAGGGGAAGCACGCAGAAAATACATAAATTTTGGGCCGAAACAACAATAGCGAATTAAAGTAAATGCACAATGTAGATTAATTTTGGAAAGTCTATCGGAAATGTCACAGAAATTTTTAATTTTCTCGTTTATGAAATCAGAGAAACTGTTTTCGAAAATTGGGGAACCCAGGAGAAGAAGAGAGTTTTTATCAACAATTTTTAAATTCGGCGCTACGGTAGAAAAAGTGTTTAAAATTTGTTGACTATCGATAATTTTGTCCGGAAGGTAAATTTCGCATTTAGAAATATTTAATTCTAATCCGATGGATTTAAATTCAGAAATCAAAAGCTGTAAGTCATGGAAAACAGTATCTGCGTCACCTCCTAGGGTTCCATCGTCCAAATACCAAACATTAAATTTAGATTTAAGTTGCCGAATAATAGGGTGAATGGCCAGACTGAAAATGACTGGACCAAGAGGATCACCTTGTTGGCAGCCTACCGCAGAATCCAAAACTTTGTCTTTATACAATAATTTTGAAGGTTGTCTATAGCACTGCCAAATAAAACTGTAAATTTCAGGTAATTCTTTTTTAACTTCAGCCAACAAAGTGTCCCTGTTGATGGAATTGAATGCATTTTTTACATCAACCTTAAGGATGACCTCACTTTCGTTTGCATTCAAGAAAGATGATAGGGCGTGTACGGCAGCCTCACAACCCCCTTTTGAGCCAAAGCCTAGTTGGAGGGTTGAAAGTGCGACATGAGCGCATCTTTATGATAGCTGCAACACAACTTGGCTGCCATACGCCTGTAAGTACATCCTACGGCAATGGGGCGTATGCCGCCATCTTTCTTGCGTAGGGCACATAGATTGGCCCCGTACAAAATGTCGATAACGGCATCCGTCACATTACCGGAGAGCATTAAATTAACCAGAACCGTTAGCTCCTTCAGAAGAGACACCGGCTTCCCCGACGTCTGGCCCCGTCAAATCCTTAAGATGTTGAGGAGTCAGACCATCAAGTCCACCAGCAGAGCCACTGCGGAAGGAGCCAACGGCTGCAGCTACTTGCTGGACAGTTGCGGTGAAAATATGGATATCATGTTCAGGAGGATCGGGAAAAGTGAGGTCAGCCCTAGCAGGCGGGTGTTTACTCTTCAGAGCTTCAAAAGTTTCTGAAGAGTAGGGAGCAACCACGTCACTACTGAATAAAAGCCTGGCGGCTCCACTTATATCACCTTCACCTAATTTGGATTCTACGTAGTCAAAACGAGTTTTTTTAATATTATTAAAGGAGTTAGGAAATTTTGGATCTAAAATGGGGTTCAAAATGTTACAATTACTTTTAATTTGTGAGGTTAAGTTTTTTTTAACAGCCAAATTTTTTTTTACGTGTAGAATCCTGTAGGGGAAGGTGAGTAACTGCTCCCAAGCCGAGAAAGAGTTCTCTCGAGTTGCAAGACGAATGCAATTTCCTAAATTAAGAGCAACGGACCGTCTTGCACCACGAGGAACTCTTTTTAAAACGGGTGTTGAATTTTTGAATTTGGATAAAGTTTCCCATAAAGGCTGATTTGAAACCGGAAAAGAATTTTGTAGAGGAGTAGTGTTAGAGGGGGATAAGGATACACTATGAGATTTGTGTATTTTTCCATAATGTATTCTTAACCCGCGTTCTCCTTTAAAAAATCGAGGCTGAGAGCATAAAGAACATCTTACCAGGCTCTCTATAGGTTGATGGGCACATTGAGAAGCACTTCCAGACTCAACAGCTGCATCACATGGATGCATGTAGGTCGAAAGCCCTCAAAAATGTATCAAAAATCCTAAAATTAAACAAACTAATTAAACAATAATAATTAAACTCATAAAAAGAAAAATCGGTCAAGGCCGGGCAGCCGCGCTGTAGCGCAGCGCCGCGCTGTCGCGCAGCGCCGCGCTGCCGTGGTGTTCCGCGGCTCCACGCCGTCCATATCTTGAGAAAGACTGCTCGGAGACGGTTAGGATCGTTTTTTGACAGCGAGTCAAATTTGTCAGCGCGTCGAAGCAGATAAAAGTCAACGCATAGAAAGATTTAAAGTATGTAGAAGACAGGCCACTTGTATTTCGCCTTTAAATTCATTTTTAATAAACACAATCACGTCTCGATGTGAATAATACACTTTCGAGTACAAGTTTAACAATAATTCACTATTTATTTAAAAAAATTTAAATAATATCTCGTTGACTTTGGCTGTCACCCTTGACGTCCATCATCTTATGTCAAAGTCAAAAGTCAATTGGTTATATTCTATTTCTACATGTTTCTGCACACACATTTCCTCATGTTGCATTTGTTCCATCACAAGCAACACTCCCCGCCCAAGAGAGCACCCATGACTGCCGCGTCCCTGTGTTTGATAGCCATTTTCAGGTTGTAGTCCTTAATACCTTGCTCACCCTCATCAGCCGCCTTCCTGATTAGTTTGCTTATCGCGTCTTCACTGTTGTCTGTGTAATAGATGCAACCATGCGTGTGACGCGATATTGCTACTACCGCGTGTGGTACGCTGTCATGTATTTGATGTTTCTTTGTTGCTGTGTTGACAACAATCACATTCGCACACGAAAGTCCCTGTGCCTCGTGTATCGTGAGCACGCGTGATCCCACGGTCGACCCGTATCCCTGGTTCTTAAGGGATTCCTTCTCTGCCTGAGTGTGTACCAGGTATAAAGTGTCGGGGAGTGACTTTGGAATCATCGCCCCCGAGAACCTTTTTATCTCGAGGGATCTCACGAACGACCTGGACGAGTATATGCCACTGTAAACTGTGCTGAGGGCATACGCCACATCCATTGGATTTCTGTGGGTACACATCAATTCCTGGCTTATGGGCGTGATATATGTAGGGCGGCTGTAGAGTAGAGGGAAGAGGTTATCACGATCTATAAACGGAAGCTGATTTATGTCACCAATTAGAAGGACTTCCTTGGCTCGAGTTATTCGGGCGGCCATCACAACGGCTCCAAAGTGGTTCATGAGAGCCTCATCTACCATTAGTCGATGGCAGCTCTCTCACTCCCCCAAGCCGTTTACTAGGATGGACGCCATTGTTCGAACCCTAGATTTGACGAGTCCTCCGATTCGGCAGGATAGTTTGCCTCTGAGGTCATTTGCTGCTTCGGTTGTCGTGGTGACAATTAGATCTTTGCCCGCTTCAAATTGATCTACTATCCATGTCGTTTT